ATAAAAATAAAATTTCTAAAATTAAGGCACCGAAAATTAACATTTAACCAAAAAAGAAAAAGAAAACAAGAAAGACAAAGTTCCCTAAAAAAGGAAAAAGAAAGTGATAGAAACTACCGAGCACGTAATTACACAAGTTAATTAATCGCAAATAAAAGTGTGTATACCTACAGCAAGAGAGGGGCCACACGAGGACGGATAAGGGGTTAGGGTTTGGACGCAGCCTCCTTGCCGGACGTACCAGACGCCGAGCTTCTCGAGCGCCGGAGCTAGCAGGTGCTTCCGCGAGCTATCATATGTGATATTGGAATCGACGGAGACGATAACGCCAAAAGCAGCCGCTGGCTCGTACCTAAGGTACGCCTTCACCATGGTTGCTGGTTCGTGTTGCTGCTATGGCGGTTTAGTTTCAGTTAGGGTTTAAGAAGGGTTTCTTCCATGTTTTTTCATCTTCTTTTTCTATTTTTCTTCATTTTCTGCATTTTTATTTGGGCTATTCTGAAGACCAGCCCAGGTAAAAAATGGTTCTTTTCCACTCAGCAAGAATTTTTCGAAGGCCCAAGCCCAAGACCCATTTTCTGTGATTATTAGATAAATCCTTCTCCTTTTGAATCCGGTATGTTACAGTTCCGACTTCCAAACACCGACTCTCTCCCCAATATCAGGGCCCTCTTAATCTAATTGCAAGGATTTTTGCGGTTTAGATTGCAAGTTACTTTTTGCCTTTTCCTTTTCTTTTTTAACAAAGTAAACTTTTTAAATGGTGGAGAGTTTGTTGTATTTCCTAGTAACTGTCAATATTCTTTACCCGAGACCAGTGTTTTACATGAAGAAGATAACAATTTTTTTCTTTTTGATCAGCAAGAAGAAGAACAATTAGGGTTCATTTTTCTAATTCTGTTTCAAATTTGCATCTGAATTCATCGGTTTTAGACGAAGAGCCTGTAAATTTTGACAGTGCCGTTTTATTTATTGGGTACTCTTCCAGAGATCAAACAAACTGAAATATTATATCCCGGCTTCTAATTTCCGAAAAAGGTATTTGAATTGATTATAAATCCAAT